TTTTGTTTTTGCACTGCTCTGCATTTTCCTATCTGTCTACAATAAACATGTAGTATAGTAATAAACTGAAATCTCTCTAGTCATTGAGTAAAGCAAGCCTCTCCAAGTCCCGAGTGCACACAGATCTCCCAGGGAGCTGGTTAAAGTGCAGATTTGGATTGAGTGGTGTAGGGAGGAACCTGAGAATCTGCATTTCCAGCAAGCTCCCCCGGACCTCCCTTTGAGCAGCCAGGCTCTAAAAGTCCGCAGCCCTAGGGGGTGGACAGATGGAGCAAGCAGTTCCCAAAGCTGTGCTGCCGACATAGAAAAGACGGTGGCCTCTGGATGCCTTCCCGTCAGGGCCTGGGTTGGGTAGGACATATGTACACTAAAATAAGTATTCATTGTTTATCTGAAATTCAGATTTAACTGACTATCCTCTATTTTTTATTTGCTAACTCTGAAGCCCCGAGTGGGGTAGGGTTGGAGCTGTGGTTGCCCAGGCGACCTGTTCCCAAGGCACTTCAAGGAAAGTAAGAGCAGTTTGCTAGGTGGTCTGGTTGACCTAATGGGCAGCCACCACCACGGCTCACCCCAGGTGCCTTCCTCCCCTACTGCCCTTGGATCCATTTCACTTGCCTGGCCACCTCCCGGGGAAGGCTCCTGGAACGGGCTGGCTACCTGGTCCAACCGCACAGCGAGGAGTCCCCTCCAGGTCACCACTACAGGGCAGCTTACCAACTGACCAACCCATGGCCAGTAACTATAGGAGGCAGTTTGCACAGTCACTACTGCAAGGAATTTGCACCAGGCTGACTTAGATTTGAGAGGAGGCATGGACGAGTAAGTAACTGTGTCTAGGCCTCGACATCCACCTGTTAACAGATGACATTCCCAAGTTCTGATGAGGATGAAATCCTATCTAAAAAGTGCTTAGCTTAGCGCACTGTCTGGCACCCAGCAAATGCTCGACATATTGGGGAAACCATTGTTTTTCTTCTCTTTCCCTCCCACAATGCCCAGCACAGTGCTGAGCACAGCTGACACCAATGTGTGTGCTCACAGAGCTAAACGGCAGGAACATTCTGGAACAGTGAAGAGTCACGTGCTCTGACCAACATAGGTGACCTCGTTACACCTTCCAGCTCTGATTCTAATTTTTTGTGACTTGAGGTTAAGTCCTTTCTTTCTCTATGCCTTGGTATCTTTGCAAAATGAGCAGCCTCTCATTAGCCCCAGTTCTGAGTTGGGACGAGGGGGGTGGTGGTGGTAGGGGGATTGTGGATGGGGTCTGTGCCTCACCTGGCTGGCCTCAGTGGGGTGGAATCCATGGGGAGAGGGCAGCTTGGAGATTCCAGTGTTCTCCCTGAGGCTGCGGTGAATCCTCTGTTTCTAGTTGGGCCGGCTCTGGCTTATTCCATGCTATTTCATTGTCTTTGGCAGGACTGGGCTCGGTGAAGCTGGACCCAGTGTGTCCTGGTCCCTCCCAGTCCTTATTGTCTCTCTGCAGGAACCAGAGCTCATGTGTTCATCCCTTGGGATGTTGAGTCTATCCAGCCTTTTAGGGATCAGGGCTGCTGGCCCCAGTATAAAGGTATTATCGTCTGTGTTGCTTCCAGGCCCCAGGCTGGCAGTGTCCCTCCTGCCCCTTGACCAGATATGCCAAGCCCCCTCCTTTACTCTCTTGATTTCTGCCCCGAAGAGGGGAGTGTGGGCTGGCAGTTACCTTACATAGAGTCCGGAGGCAGCATCTGGGGCTGCTTGGCTCACCCAAAGGCCCCCTACCCACCGCCCCCAGTCAAGCTGGGTCCTCTTCTTCCTGCCCAGCTGAGGCAGGGTCTGGAAGGGCACAGTAGCAGGCCCTCTGTGATGCTCCTATTGCCATGGTGATCCTAGATGAGAAGGCCATAGCATTCTGTCTCTAGAACCTCCACACATCTTTCCAGTTCTCTTTTGCCTGCCCCCAGAGATGGCTCTTTGCTGGTGTCCTCAAGAGCACAGGCTCTGCTGCAGTCAACGTGTCTTCTGCATATCCCCTATCCTTTGGACCTCCCTCTGACCCCAGCAGAAATCACTACCCTAACAGGTAAGCCTCCACCCCTCAGAAACTGACCTCCACCAGAGAGGTGATGGTAAGTCTCGGGAAAAGCCTCAGGATTCAAAATGAGAAGACCCAGGCTTCAGTTCCAGCCAGGCCTTTTAGAGCTATGTGACCCTGGTTAAGACAGTGCCCTCCTCTGTAAAATGTAGATGACAATACCCAATTGAACTGTCCCTCAGGAATGCCTGTGTGGCTTTCCTTCTACATAATACCCTTCCATCCTTCTCAGCTCAGGCCAACTCCTACCCATGCCTCAAGACCCAGCTCAGATGCTCCCTTCTCTGTAAACGTTTCTCTGAGTTCTGTAGACTTGACACAGAATATTAAGACTGGCTATTTTGTGTTAATGTTATTTGTTTGCTTCATTTTTATTTGACCATGAATTTTGGGAGGCAAGAATAAGATTAGGCTTAGTTTGGCATCAGAAATGGTTTGTTGAATGATTGCTTTGTGGAAGAGAAATCAGAATAGGCTGACCTTGACTGGGTTGGACACCATCCTTGCAGGGGTCAATCCTGGGGCCCTTTGTCCAAGCATGGTGTGGGTCAGTCAGTGCTTGCCGTGGCCTTGCTGTGTGCCTGAGATGCACATGGCTGGCTGGGGACATTTTCATGGCCAAGACCCAGTGGAGGAGACCCTGGCTTATACCTGGGGTCTGTCTTAGCACTGGGGTGTGGCCAGGAGCAGCTTCCTATGGGGTGTCTCTGTGAATGTCCTGGGGTGTCTGGGAGGAGAAGGGGGATGGTACAGCACTGTCAGCTGGTTCTAGTGGGCCTTTTGGGATATTGAAAAATATCCGAGGAAAAGAGAGGAGAACTTCAGTTGCCACCGTGTCTCCCACTCCCTCTCTTGGCTCTACAGCTGCTGGTCAGGGTCAAGGAGATGAAGGAGACATCCAGCATCAGCTCCGGGGTCCCTACAGACTCACCAGCCAACAGGGCTTCCAGGGCCAGAGCCAGCTAGTCAAGGGCGCCCTCCGGTGGTCCCCATAGGCGAGGCAGGAACCTGACCGGGCAAAAAGAGAGGTGATTCATTCATTCCTTCAACGGACATGGAGTGAGCATCGGCGTGCCAGGCGTGTTTCAATTTTAATTAAAAACCTATTGATCGTTCTGCTAAGTAGAAAGCTGTCTCTTGAGTGTTGATATTTTTTGGTGGGGGAAAAGGGAATACAAGGTAGGGAATTGCCCCTTACAGCAGTGATTCTCAAACTATGCTGCCCTTGGCACCTTGAGAAAATATCAACGTCTGGGACCCTAGTAGGTCCAACCAAATCTGGGGGAATGGGGTAGGGGCATCAGCGGCAGGCAGCCAGGCATGAGAACTGCTGGTTTGGAGAGTCGACTAAATTGTTACCCAGCATTCTCATTGCTGAGGGAGGTGTTAATGTCCCATTTTCCCCGACGAGGAGCCTGAGGCCCAAGTTAAGGACAGCAATGGGAAAGATGTTTCCCACAGCACAGGCAGCAGGGGTGTGGCAAATATCCCTACCAGGCTGTTCCTGATCTCTGAAGGGACCCCCTCACAACCGCGATGGCATTATTTTTGCTGTGATCAGAAAAGCATCCAAGGCGTTGTTGTGAAATAATGTCCCCAGGACAGAGAATTATAAAGGCAAAAGTGGTGTCCACAGAAGTCACCTGCGATCTCATTGATAACACTGAGGAGTGTGTCAGGGAAAGGGAGGAAGGGGGATGGGGACGGGGAAGGGAGGGAAGGAGTGGATTCATTTCCAGGCTGAAGGTCATATTGTAAATCAAGGCTTCGGAAAGCGCCATCTGAAAACCACGGGCATTATGATCCCCGAGGTGCTCATTAGAAGCGCAGCGCTCCCCGTCCCCCGACCTCCCACCAGGTGGCGGAATCAGACTCTGGAGAAAGACCCTGAGAAGCGGCACGTCTCCTATACATTCCAGATCATTCTCACAGCCGTTCACGGAAGACCAATAGCCACTGCGGCTTCAAGCCTTCACAAGAGGAGCCCGTCCTAGACACCCATCACTTCCAGTGGCTCACGAGGGCCCTAGCGTATGGATCGATGTATCACAATGTCTGGAATCGGGGGCTAACGGGCGGCCCTTGGGGCCCGGGGTCCGCACTCCCGCAGCACAACAGCAGGGCTGCGGCGTCATCCCTCACCAGGCCCAGCCCCCACCCAGCAGCGCCGCCCTCGGGCCCCCTCCCCCCCACCCCCCGCCTGCTTCCAGAGCCGCGACCCAACCTCCCAACTGGATTCTGCCAGCCAATCACAGCCTGGGCAACTATGACGTCACCGTCAGCCAATCCGAGCTCCTCAGCCGCAGAGGCCGACCGCCGCCGCTCTAGACAGGTGCCGAGGGCTGGAGCAACGCCGTCCAGCCTTTTTGGAGACTGGGACTCGGAGACCTACGGATGAGCGGAGACCCTCTAGGGTCATCACACACGGGTCGCAGGGCCAGGACTAGAAGCCAGGACTTCAGTGTTCTTTCCACTGCCCTCACTGCCGCCGAAGCCCCATAGGGCCTCTCTCTTGCGCAGCTCCTGGCACGAGAGATGAGGACCAGCACCCCCCCCCCCACAGCTCTCCCCGCAAGACCTTAATGGTCAGGAACAGACCCTTCGATCTCTGTTATTTGAGGGCCCAGAGACGATGGCAGGATTGGGCCCACGGTGGAGGGAAGTTGCCCCAAATTCTAGCCCTGGTTCCAGCCCCTCCAAACACCCCCCTCGGCCCCAGCAGGAATTAGATGGGCCCTGGCCAGGCCGTGCTGGCGGCTGCTACTGTGCAGATTATAAGAAGGGGCCAGACAAGGCTCCTTTGTGGAGGCCTTGGCTTAGGGAGTCAAGTGACTGCTTAACAAAAGCGTAGGCAGGGCCAGCCCCTAAGTGTGGGCAGGGGTGCTGGCCACAGGACCCCCAAGAGTCCCACCCGTCCAGTGGCCAGAACTGCTGTGGTATCACCTGAGAAGACCAGAGCCCCTCCCGTGAGTAGGCTATCAGCCCAGGCAGGCTGCGCTGGGGTTTTGAGGGCCTGTGGGGTGGATGGCCATCCCTGCATTAGTGCATGTGATGTGCGCAGCCAGGCAGTGTGTGTGCAGGTGTGGGGGCACTTGTGCGTGTGTGCAAACTCTCTGCAGTGCGAATGAGCTTGGTGTGCACTAGGCACAAAGACAGCCCAGCCACTGCAGCTCTGTCAGAGTGAGCAAGGAGAGGGTGGGTGTCCGTCATTGCTTCAAGAAGTTTTTATCGCACATCTCTCCTATGAGAACACAAGGAGGGAATAGTCAGTAAACAAGCAGACATCCTGCAAAACATGATTTCAAGTATAATAAGATAAACACTATGTAGAGAAATCAACAAGATGAGGGGACAGAGAGTACCAGTAGCACTGGGATGCTATTTGCAGGGACAGTCATTGGGAACATCCTTTCTGAGCAGATGACCTGAAGTGGGAATGAACCATACAGTTAGATTAGAAAGAGCATCCTCGGGACGCCTGGGTGACTCAGTGGTTGAGCGTCTGCCTTCAGCTCAGGTCATGATCCCGGAGTGGCGGGATCGAGTCCCACATTGGGCTCCCTGCATGGAACCTGCTTCTCCCTCTGCTATATCTCTGCCTCTCTCTCTGTATGTCTCTCATGAATAAATAAATAAATTCTTAAAGAAAGAGAGAGAGAGAGAGAGAGAGAAAAGAAAAGGAAAGAAAGAAAGAAAGAAAGAAAGAAAGAAAGAAAGAAAGAAAGAAAGAAAGAATCTTCCAGGTGGAAGGATTGGCAAGTGGAAAGGCCCTGGGGTCACTGTTCAGTGAAAGTGATTTGAGCATCTCTACCAGCCAGACTCTGCTCTGGGCACTGTGGACAGGGCAGTGGACAAGACTGATCAGGCCCCTTACCAATCTTGCTCCAAGATGGCTGAGGGTGCCTGGGGAGCTAATGAACAGGAGGGGCTCAGAACACTGCCTGGCTCAGAGGACTAAGCCTAGTGTGTGGACTTTGCTATTACTGTTGTCACTGCCTTTGTCATAACTTTAGGGCACAGACGTATCTGTCTCCTCTGCCAAGGCTGTGGACAGCTCTGGGCTCACTTCACTGGCTTCCCATGTCCCACAGGCAGTAAGAGCCAAAAGGGCCTCTCAGGCTACCTCATCCCATTCCCAGTGTCCAGACAGGAAAGCTAAAGCCCAGAGCAGGGAAGAGTCCTGGCTAAGATCACTTATGAGGCCCAGACAAGTCTCGACCAAGGCCCCTGCTCCCTCCCAGCCCCCCAGTGTACCTCCCTGTCTGTCTACTAGGACCCAAGTGCACCTGCTGCAGCCCAGTGCCCGGCCATGACCGTCACCTACTCAAGCCAAGTGGCTAATGCCCGCCTAGGCTCCTTCTCCCGCCTGCTGCTGTGCTGGCGAGGCAGCATCTACAAGCTGCTCTATGGCGAGTTCCTCATCTTCCTGCTCAGCTACTATACTATTCGCTTCATTTACAGGTGCAGGGGGACAGGCTGGGGCCAGGGCCTGGGAGGGGTACAGCTGGGTCTTGGAACAAATAGCCAGCCATTCAGGGGGGCCGACGTACCAGAGACCTGTAAGGCTGATCTGAGCTCCTCCTGGCCAAGCCCTGGGGGCGGGGGGGGGGGCGGCGGCGGGGTTTGGGGGTTGTGGCTGGGGAGGAGATCAAAGAAGGCAGCCTGGGAGACAGCTCAGTGCAGTCCAGAGTGTCTTTCCTCCAACCCAGGGAGAGGCGCTGGCACCAGGGCCTTACCTGGTCCCACTCCGCCATCCTGTTCTCCTGAGTTCCACACAAGCTCACAGGTCCAGGACATATTTTTTTGTACCCCAATAAAAGTGTTTACTTAAATAAAATAAAGGACGGATAAAAACCACAGAATATATGAAAGCATTTTGAATGGAAAAAGCCTTAATGATTGCAATGGATTGAAAAACTATTAAATCCAGAAAGTTCTTGAATTCAAAATTACAATACCAATAACAAAGCACATCAGTTTTCTTTAGTTGTTACTCAGGCACCAATATACTTTTTTTTTCATTTTTTAGAGTTTTTAAGCTTATAGCAAAATTGAGCAGAACGTAGAGAGTTTCCATATACCCTCTCAAACACACACACACAGCTGCCCCCACTGTCAACATACCACAGCAAAGTGGCACATTTGTCATCAAAGATGAATCCCCATGGACACACCATTATCACCCAAAGTCCATAGCTTACACTAGGGTCCACTCTTGGTGTTGTACATTCTATGGGTTTGGACAAATGTATAATGACATGTATCTACCATTATACTATACAGAGTAGTTTCACTACTCTAAAAACCCTCTGGGCTACACTTACTCATCTCTCCTTACTATAAGTTTTTTTAAAGACCAAACACTCTTTGTTTGAACCTGCTTTCAAACTATTTTTTGGATGCTTTAAAAGGGTCAGTGGTGCCTACAAGTAAGTCCTTCAGCAGGAGCTTCCTTCCTATACCTCACAGAAAACCTCTTGCAGCCACAGAGCAGAGGCCCAGCTGGGGCTTGGGGCTGCTAGAGTGGGACCTGGCTCAGGCCAGAGGAGGGGCCCTCAGGCGGGGCCAGTGAAAGAGACAGGGAAGTGGTGGGGTAGCAAAGAGGCAGCCACACTCCCACCCTAGGCCTGGCTGGTCCCCGTACCTGTCTCAGCCATGTGCTCCCAGTGTGTACACATCCGCCTCCCTCCCCCGCCACCAGGATGGCCCTCACGGAGGAACAGCAGGTGATGTTTGAGAAACTGACTCTGTATTGCGACAGCTACATCCAGCTCATCCCCATTTCCTTCGTGCTGGGTGAGCCCCCCGACCCCCCCGCGTCTCGGGATCCCAGTGGTGCTGCCGGCTCCAGAAAGGTGGACTACGGAGAGTAGCACGTCAGTGCCTCTCAGCAGTTCAGGGCTGCAGCCAGACGGAGGTCAGACGTTAGGAAGGACGTCCTGCTGTTAGCACCCAAGACTCCTGCTTCTGAGGGCAGCAATGACAGTCCCTGGAGCGTCTGCGCAGGAGGGGAGGGCGGGCAGACTTCTGGGATAGACAGGGGGCCCCTGGGAGCGAGAACTGGAGGATCTTGCACCTTCCCGCGGGTCTGCTGGTCCTCCCCTCCCGAGCGCCTTCCAGGAGGGCTGGGGCCCGGCGCGCTCCCATCAACGAAGATGGAGACGCGGAGGCAACGCCCTCGCTCGGCTCTGGCCGCAGCCTGGGCAGCCTGGGCCCCCGCCCCTCGCCCCCTTCCCCCACGCTTCTCTTGCCCAGGCTTCTACGTGACTCTGGTCGTGACCCGCTGGTGGAACCAGTACGAGAACCTGCCGTGGCCAGACCGCCTCATGAACCTGGTGTCCGGCTTGGTGGAGGGCAAGGACGAGCAAGGCCGGCTGCTGCGGCGCACGCTCATCCGCTACGCCAACCTGGGCAACGTGCTCATCCTGCGCAGCGTCAGCGCCGCGGTCTACAAGCGCTTTCCCAGTTCCCAGCACCTGGTGAAAGCAGGTGGGCGGGGCCGGAGCAGGGGGTGGAGCCAGAGGCCTCCCGGCTGAAGGTTGGGTGGGGCCAGGAGCGGGCGGGGGGAGGGGCGGGACCTGGTCGAACCGGCCGGGGCGGAGTCGAGTGCCTGAAGGTGGGAGGGGCGAGGTCTGGAACAGCGCGCGGGAACGCGGCTTCAGACGGGGCTAAGGACCCTGGAGGGACGGGGGGACAGTGGGGACCGAGGGCCGGGGGCGGGGCCTTGGGAGCTGATGAGAGCGTAAGGGTCCTCCTCCCTTTGCCCTTTCTGGTGGTGCGGTGTTCAGGCTGCACATCCGTGACCTCCGTCCCCGACCTTCCCTAACGCGGTCCTGATTGGTAAAACGGAGCCTTCTCACGTGCTCAGGCCAGAACAGCGTCTAGTGGCCGCTTAGTAACTATTGAATGGCAAAGGAGCTCGGTGGTGCCAATGAACTGGGGCTTGAATCCTGGCCAGCCCTGCCAACCCGCCGCTCTGCGGGCTCTCCCCATCCACTGCCTTCTTCACTCCATCCCGCAGGCTTTATGACCCCCGCGGAATGTAAGCACTTAGAAAAGCTGAGCTTGCCGCACAACACGTTCTGGGTGCCCTGGGTGTGGTTTGCCAACCTGTCAATGAAGGCGTGGATTGGAGGTCGAATCCGGGACCCTGTCCTGCTCCAGAGCCTGCTGGACGTGAGCTCACCACACAGATGGGGCTGGTGCAGAGTGGGGACGGTTGTGCCCTGGGTAGAACAGTTTCCTACAAAGAGCAGGCTTGAGAGTCTGCCTAGAACCTGCTTTGGGGTTGGAGGATTTTGACCGAGGGGATTCCACAACCCATGGTGGCCGGTCCCTTAAATTCCTCTCCTACTTCCTCTCTAAAGTGAGCCTCAGAAATACTGGTTCCTGGGTTGTTGTTTTCTTAAGATTTTATTTATTTGAGATAGAGAGCACAAGTGGGGGGGGGGCGGGTAGAGCGAGAAGCAGGCTCTCTGCTAAGCAGGGAGCCCCATGCAGGCTCTATCCCAGGGCCCTGGGGTCATGACCTAAGCCAAGGGCAGAGCCTAACTAACTGAGCCACCCAGGTACCCTATCCTGATTCCTTTTTGATAGATGAGGAGACTGAAGCACAGAGAGGTTAAGTGAGCTGCCCATGATCACAGAGCCAGACCCCAGTACCTTGGGAAGAGCTGGGGGTTGAGCCTGGGAGAGCAGATGGGTGGTGGTCAGAACCCCAACCCTCCCTCCTGCTCCCCAGGAGATGAACATCTTGCGTACTCAGTGTGGACACCTGTTTGCCTACGACTGGATCAGTATCCCGCTGGTGTACACGCAGGTGAGGACTAAGCCAGTGAAGCTGCCCCTTAGGGAAGCCGGGACTGGGAGGACTCAGAAAACAGCCTGTGATGGGAAGGGCTCACTTGGGGGCTAGGAGGCCCATCCCGGGAGTTAGGTCTGGACTTTGCAGATTCTCTCTAGTGACAACTTTGAAGAGTCCAGGCTCCTGCCTGGTTCAGCCCAGGGGAGAGAGTGTAATTATCCCCATTTTAAAGAGATCACAGGGCAGCCCTGGTGGCTCGGTGGTTTAACGCTGCTTTCAGCCCAGGGCGTGATCCAGGAGACCCAGGATCAAGTCCCACGTCGGGCTCCCTGCATGGAGCCTGCTTCTCCCTCTGCCTGTGTCTGTGCTTCTCTCTCTCTGTGTGTTTCTCATGAATAAATAAATACAATTTTAAGAAAATAAAGAGATCACAGAGGGCCAAAGTCACAGGACTGTGCAAATCAGAGCAAGGGCTCATCCTCACAGCCTAGGGAGCTTCCTGACCCCAGGTTGCCAGCCAGTGCATTTCTGCTGCCACCTCCTTTCCTCCCAGGTGGTGACCGTGGCTGTATACAGCTTCTTCCTGGCTTGCCTGGTTGGGCGGCAGTTCCTGAACCCAGCCAAGGCCTACCCTGGCCACGAGCTGGACCTTGTTGTGCCTGTCTTCACATTTCTGCAGTTCTTCTTCTATGCTGGCTGGCTGAAGGTAAGATTCTCTGCAACCAGACTGGTTGTGGTCATGGCTTTAGAAGGGTCATGGCTGACCAGGAAAGGAGGATCTCAGGGCCCCCACCATGACCTTCTTGTGTACTCCTTCCCCGTGTCTTTACATTTGAAGAAACTGAGACCCAGAGAGGAGTGGGACCAGCTTGAGGCTGGTGTCTGATCCCAGTGCTGCACCACAGTCCTCGAATTTAGCAGGCTGGGCAGATACAGGGAAAGCTCAATTGTCAAACCGTTTGATGCCCCCTCAAGAGAATGTTCCCCAAATATTTGTCCAGAAAAAAGGAAAATGCATGGATTGAGAATGTCTGTGGCAGGCCCTGCTGGTGAGGCAATTCCTCTCTGTGCCCTAGGCTCTGATCCCAAATTTGTCCCCTTTGCTTAGTAAAACCAAAGTCCTGATGTTAACTGCCCCAGCCCCCACCCTTTCAAGGCAGATTAGCACCACCTCTCCTTACTCAAGATATCCATCTGTGATGGGGGTGAGGGGCGGGGTGCCTCATCCCCACCCTAAGTGGTGTTTCCAGGTATTACTCCCACTACATCCAGGGCTCTTCCTAACAAGAGTTCTGAATAACACAGTTTTCTCTCCATCTCTTTATCTTTCCTGTTTCTTACCCACTCTCTCTCCCTTTTTTCTTTTTTCTTTTTTTTTGGTAGTGGTGCTGGGAGGATGGTATTTTTTGGCAGTGATGATAGGTTGCCTCCTCCCTCTATCCCTCCTGTCCATGTATGGAGCATGTGTGCATGTGTGCAGTCCCTCCCTATCCACACCCTCGTCCCAGCAGTCATCTTCAGCCGCTGCACATCAAACCAGATCACACCATTTTTCTGCTCAAAATCCCCTAGTGGTTTATAGGATGTCCCTTGAATGCTTAGTACAGTCCATCACTACTGTGGAGATTTGTCAGGGGACCTCAGAGGTTAGCACTAGGAAGGACTCTGCCTGCCTGGGCCACCCTTTAATTGAACACAGCCTCCCACATATAAACTCTGTGGCTTTGAAAATAATGAATATATGAATGTTGGAAGACTTGAATGAGTAAATAAATGAATGAATGCATAGATTATGGAACTCCAGGGAAGATACAGTGAGGGGAGGTACCAGTGGTGACTCTGCCACGTGATAGACTGAAGAACAGCTCTGGGTGTTCAGGGAGCAGCTGGCTCAGAGAGGGGCTCAGGCTCAGTGTCCTGAGAGAAGGGGACTGTGTGCAGGTGCCTAGGAGCGTGGGTGGCTGGAGGCCTTACATACTGGCTTTGGAGATGGTGGTCAGGCAGGAGGGGCATGATGGGGTGGGATGTGTAATGAGCAGGAACAGAAGTTTAAGGGCAAGGAGCAAGACCGCAGGGAGTCTACCTGAGGACTTCCAAAGCCTTACCTCTCCCCAAGGTGGCAGAACAGCTCATCAACCCATTTGGAGAGGATGATGATGACTTTGAGACCAACTGGATTGTCGACAGGAGCTTCCAGGTACTTGGGGAGAGAGGGAGCCTGTCCTGTGGGCCTTCCCTGAATTGGACCCAGGGAGGGGACCCCACAGTTCCATAGGGAGGCCTTATAGTGAATTGCCCCCCACCTCCTGGCCCACTCTTCACTCACAGGATTCTCACCCCAACTTATAAGGCTGCAGATAAGCATTAGTCTCTCCATTTTACAAGTAGGGAAACTGAGGCCCAGAGAGAGGGAAGTGACCTCTCCAAGTCATCTAGCAAGGTTACAGTCCTGCTTGGGCTGACTTTTCTGTTGGACTTCTCCTTCTGTGCCTGGCAACCAGGTGTCCCTGTTGGCTGTGGACGAGATGCACCAGGACCTGCCCCCGATGGAGCGGGATATGTACTGGAATGAACCAGAACCACAACCCCCCTACACCGCTGCTTCTGCCCAGTATCGTCGAGCCTCCTTTTTAGGCTCCACTTTCAACATCAAGTGAGCAGTGCCAAGGAACCACTTTGTTTAGTAGAAAAGCCCAAGGGCAAGGACTTAGGAAAGCACTAGTTAATATGTATCAGATGCATGCTGAGGGTGGGGAGCTCCACTAGGCTCTTTATATAAACTGTATTTTTCTTCCCAATAATCCTGATTTGGTTATCTCCAGTTTTCAGATGATTATGTCCAAGTTCAGAGAGGTTAAGAAGGTTGCTCAGCCCAAGGTCACACAGTTAGCAAGCCGCACCTGTGGATGTATGCCTGCTTCTATCTCCACCCCCTTAATCCTTACCTTGTACTGCTTAATAACTCTTAAAGCTATAATGGCTTTTAGGTAACTCAGGCCTAAGTCCCCCAAGTCTAGAATTGGAAACTGGGACTTACCCAAGGGCTGACAGTTATCAGTGATGCAGTTGAAATGTCGGACACTGGTTCCTGACTCTGGTCCAGAACTACGCTTTCTGATAAGCCAGGGTGTTTAAATGGGGAGTGAAAGGGGGTGGAGGGTGTCCCTGGCTGGGGAAGAGGCAAGCCTGTGCCAGCAAGAGACTGATTCATCACAGGTACCTTCTGGGTAGACTCTGTGCTAGAGTACAGGCCTCAGGTCACCCACAGGGGCCAAACTTTCCTGCACATGATTCCCATTTCCCTGATTTGGTCTGATTCCCTTGTGAGCTGCAGCTGGGCCATCCCAAACAACCCCCTCTCCCAGGAGGACAGCAGAGAGGACTTTGGAGAGTCCTCTGCATGTCAGGGTCCATATCATCCAGGTTTTCTTCCACAGTATTAAGCACTGTTATCCTTTAGAAACCAAATATCCTGCCTGTTAAGCCATAATTCGAATTAGCTAGAGTCCCTAGTGGGTGTGAGGAAGGTTCGAAAAAGTGATCAAATGAAGGATGGAGGCTTGCTTAGGTCAGAAACATTTCTGGAAGTTGCTTCTGAATTCCATATGATCTGTGCTTTAGCAGCTGAAGGTTGGGTGGGGAACAGAGGATAATGATAAATAGACCTCATCTTCAAGGAACACACCATTTAGTGAGGGAGCTCAAACCCAAGGCCCAAACTCTGGACACAAGGTACAAGGTACTGAATGCCTAGGAGAGAGACAGAACATAGAACAGAGACCATCTGTGGCTTGGGAGGTGGCCTCCAGCTGGACCCTTAAAGCATGGGGAGAATATGGACACAGTCAAGGGCAGGCCACATTCCGGGACAATGGGCTTTCTCCTGCAGAGTGAAAGGCTTTGGGCTCCCAAGAAACCACACTTCTTTGTGGGTGCTTGGAACCACAAACCCCTGGCCAACCCAGAGTCACTCCTGGGCCTCCTCTGACCCGGGGACCAGTAGTTCAGATCACTTGAAGGGAGAGGTGGTAAAGGAAGATGGAGATAAAGAGAAAGCCCATAAGTGCCAGTCCAGGGAGTTCAGTAAACATGGGCAAGAGGGAACCACAGAACCTCAAGGTGAGCTGGGTCCAGAAGGAGTAAGAGGTCAGTGCAGGGCAGGATGGGTCAGGAAAGAGAGGAGTCCAGGCATTGTGAGAACACTGTGTGTCCTTGGCTTTGGGCCAAAAGGAGGGAAAAGATAGGGTACAAGAGAAGTCAAGTCCTGCTTTGGTCCTTTGTCCCCTACTCAAGTAACCCCTGCTTCTTTCCAGTCTGCATAAGGAAGACATGGAGGAGGAAGAGGAAGGCACTCACGCTGGCATCATTGGCCGCTTCCTAGGACTGCAGTCCCACGACCACCAACCCCCCCGGACAAACTCAAAGACCAAACTACTATGGCCCAAGAAAGAAGGCTTTCTCCAAGAGGGCCAGACCAAGAAACTCGGGGGTGCCAGGCAGACCTCTAGGGACAAGGAAGACAGCAAGGCCTGGGAGATTAAGGAGGAGGGTGCTTTTGAGACTGCTGCATTTTATGGGAGGTCAGGCTACCACAGTGCCCCACAGACGCCCCTCAGCCACACACCTATGGTCTTCCCATCTGGACAGTCAGCACCCTCAAGCCTACGCAGAGTCTCAGGGATAGACGGTGCTGTCAAAGATCAAAACCTACAGCCTGGGATAAAGACCAGTTCTGAAGCACTCCCAGAGAATGTTGGGTTCTCATTAGAGAACCCAGAATCGGGTCATGTGAAGAGGAAAACTGTCGAGTTTAACCTGACAGACATGTCAGGGACCCCTGATCATCATCTCAGAGACTCAAATTTGAGCCAGTCAACTAGCAACCTACACACTATACTCAAGGGCCACGGAGATCCCTATTGGGCCTTGGAAAACAGGTCTGTTCTTTTTACCTTAACCAGGATCACTTCACTGCCCCACCCCCACCCCCCAAACACACACCTGGGTGAGAAGCCTCATCACCTTCCCTTGCTGTGATTCTACCCTCCTACCACCTTCCTGGGAGCCGATTTTCCTGTGGTTCCATCACTGCCAGAGGATGCTGGATTTACACCCAATATTGTCTTGCGGCACTTACCTAGCCACCTCGGCAAGGGCACCGGGAAGTTTGAGAACTTTGCTCATTTCACCAGAGCCTGACATCACTGGGCAGAGTTCCCTGGGTCCTGGGTGAAGGAACATGATGTTGTACTGAGAAGAATGAGGCTAGGAAGCCACTAGGCCGGGGTTAGATGGTCAGAGGTTATCCCTGGACCCAGCTTGCTTTGTGTAGCAGACACAGAACCATGAGGCAGAACTAGGGACTCTGGGCTGTAGCCCAAGAACTACACTCACTGCCCAGGCTTAGCTCAGAGATCGCTTGTGAACACTTCCCCATAACCTCTCCAAGGTCCCCAAGTATGTCTTTAAAGTGTTAAACCCTTGGGAACTGGCAGATGGTTAAGGTGAGGGCATCCAAGTCCCTTGGGGTGTATCTTCACTTTTGGGGGGGGGGGGACTCAAAGACTTCTGAATTTGAAATAGCTCTTCATGCCTTCTTGGGGGCAACCCGCAGCTGTCACAAAACCATCAGCTGTTCCCCTAGGTTCTGGGTTTCACTCAATTAGACACACCCTACCCCAATTGTGTTAACTTCCTGTTTTCTAGATTCCCAAGCAGTCACTTCTGTGGTCAAAATACCTACTTCATGATGAAAAACTTCTAAAAGGGCCATAATCGGTCTCAGATCTAGCTAGATAGAAACTCCTACAAATTACTGCGGCTTATCTAGGAAGGGCTAATTAACGTAGTTGTTAGCATGGAGGGATGGGCTCTGCAGTCGGCTGACACTATTTTTTTGTATTTTGGGATCCCAACCTTTGCCCTAACTCCCAACTATTTTAGTACTGAAATGATGATCTTCCACGTTCATGTTGTAAACTTTCTCAAATTCTCTCTAGGGATGAAGCACATTCTTAGCCTGTTTCCCAAGGGAGACGCTTCATCGGCCTGGTCCTACCTGCACGTACACCAGCGGTACACTGGTCTAGTCACAGCCATACAGCCGTCCACACTGAAGAGTATGTTCGTAGGACAGCCTGAATTAAATGGTTAGCTTAGTGGAAAACAAAATCCATAGTGTCAGGTCTACTTAAGCCCTTAAGATACTTTTTGTACATAAAAATTGTAAAAAGCTGGAATCAACCACTGGAAACATGTAATTCAAAACCTTCAATTCAGAATCAGGAGTCCTTAAGTCCTGTCTGAATTCAGCACACCCAGCCTCAATTATCATTTCCTAAGGACTTTAATAAAACAAATCCCTCCCTAGGCATGTCATTTTGGTTACTGTGACTGAACTACAACACCTCAGCAGATTTCACAAAGATGACCTAAATACATTTCTAGCCCATCCCAAGAACTCAAGAAACAACAGCTGGGTACCAAATTACTTTATTTGAAGGAATGATACAAACGAAAGAAGTAGATGTTTCAGTACAACTTATATAGAAAAGGTAAAGGTAACCCCAACATGCATGCACTGCCTCGGTGACCAGGGAAGTCACCCTGTGGCTATGGGAAGACAGCCTAAGGCTTAGCTCTCACTATCACTGTTTCCCAGGGTGTGCTTGTCAAAGAGATACTCTGCCATGCCAGATTCGGGAGCCCCCATCTTGCGCAGGTTGGTTACATGGTCACCCAATTCTTTGATGGATTTCACCTGCTCATTCAGGTAATGAGTCTCAATGAAGTCACACAACTAGAAGACAGAATGGGGAAGAATGTTAATGGTAAACTTTCCCAACCCCTAAAGAGGGAAATGACTCCCTCCATTCTCTCCCAGACTGCCAACACTCACGTGGGGGTCATTTTTATCAGTGGCCAGTTTGTGCAGTTCCAGTAGTGACTGATTCACGCTCTTTTCCAAGTGTAACGCACACTCCATTGCATTCAGCCCATTCTCCCAATCGTCACGGTCTGGTTTCTGAACGAGAGGAGGTCAGGTCAATGCACATACAGCCTCTACCTGTTATTGCCCAAGTCAGCAAACATGCAATCGTTGTGCTTCGGCAAGAGGGACATCCCAGTTTCTCCCACAATGGTTTCCAACTTAACAGCCTTGCGCCCATTACCGTTCACCTCCTTCAACTTAGAGGATAGGCTTAAAAAAAACACAGAAGCCAAAAGTACTTCATTTTATAAGAGCAACTGCTAGCTTGAGGGATTTCTGACACCCAAGGACTTGCCGGATAGATGAGACACAGGATCTCTAAGATGTTTTGTTCACCTTAATATCCTGAAGGAAGATTCGACCACCTCGTTGGTTCTGCAGCTTCATCAGTTTCTCAGCATGTTCCCTCTCCTCATGAGATTGGTGGAGAAAATATTTGGCAAAGTTCTTCAAAGCCACATCATCACGATCAAAGTAATAGGACTGAAAAGAGAACACGAACATGTTCTGTTAGGAAGCCTAGCCTTTCTTCCTCAAAGTCCAGCAAGAAAGGAGTCTGCACTGAAGACAGCGGACAGGTTGTGTTCCTGGACAGAACACAACACTAGTCTGTACTCTAAAACACAAAAATGAAACTTGGTCCTGGACATTTGAAGTTTACTGCAAGGAACCTTTAGAATATCATAGGGAATTGCCCCCAGCAGATAAATTACTAAAGCCTTATATGAGAGCAAACTTCTTCTAGCCAGCGTCGCATTTGATTGGAGAGGGTGTGGGAGTATTTACCCTGTACAAACAGTGCCTTCTCTCCCTACTCCCTGATTAAAACAATGTTAATACATGAGCTTGCCAGCTTACAGCATACGGACTGACGGATTTCTAAACTTAACCCATTAGGCAAGGTGACAACTGTTGGCAACGCTAAGGTGTACAAAGAAATTGCCAGCAGAAGATAGAAAATTTGATTCCGTTTTCAGACACTCGCTGAAATGGAATGGCAGTCGTGGAAATCCAGGCCTATTTTCAAATTCATCTGGAACAGGTCTATTCTTAGATAATTTGCACAATCGTGAGACAATTCTAAGTAAAACTCCCACCACACCGCCTAAAACCAGGATTTTGGAAAATGGATTCCATCGATCAGCATGGAAAGTTTCCTTGCCCAGTAACTGTTGGTGTAGTTTATTCTAAAACCAAGGGTTCAATTAGAGGGCCACAACTCAGTCACAAAAGGATAAAGTACTAAATGCCCGGGCAAGAGGACGGATGACTAAGACAACTGTGTCCGCAAAAGGGGAGGTTTCCATGCTTCAAGTGGGACTGAGCGATAAGCAGAACAGAGGAGTAGCGATGGCTGCTCCGGAGTGGTCGGCCCTCGGGAGATAAATAAGCCACTTAGCACCAACCCCCCACCCCCAACGGTTGCTATTCGACACCATTACCCAGCAGGCTCCGACAGTCGCAGGGAGGACGGGGGCTGGACCACTTCGCCCCCGTTACCCAAGCGAAAGGACAGCCTCGGGGCCACGTGATCGACACAGAGAACAGGATGGAAATGCAAACCCCACTTTCCTAACTGCAGGATTGTGCCGGTTGCAACTGCTGCCAGTCGGGGATTTCATGAAACCAGGCTCTCTAAATACGAAGCGGTGCGCAGAGGCGGCCCTTGACGAAGAGGGAGCCCTCCCAAGGGACAGTCCGAAAGGGCGAGCCGGCCAGAGTTTCTGCGCAAGTCCTGAAAGGCCTCGAGCAGCGTCCATTTTCCAGCAGGGCGAGCAGAGGCGGGAGAGCCCAAGCGTTAGCCACACCCCCGCCCCGCCGCCCGGAGAGGAGCGGCGCTCACCATGGACAAGTAGACGTAGGACGCATAGAGCTCCAGGTTGATCTGGCGGTTGATGGCGGCCTCTGAGTCCTGGTGGTAGTTCTGGCGCACCTGCGAGGGGGACGCGGTCGTCATGGCGGAGGCTGAGGAGAGGCGGCGGCGGCGGCGGCGGAGGCCTTGAGCGGTCCGAGAGCGCTGCGTGGAGGTGGCAGAGGGCTGGCTCTGAGCGGCGGGCCCGGGTAGGGGAAACGAGCGCCGGGTTCCGTCCAAGCACTGTTGAAGCAGGAAACCGCGGCGACTCTCGGCGGAGACTGGCGCAGACGGCCGTGGCCCCGCTCTTATAGCGGGATCGGGCGTCAAGCCCACGCCGGCCAATCAAGCCGCCCGCCCGCGTGCGGAGCCCCGCCTCTTCCGGCGGGCGCGCGACCCCGCCCTGAGGGCAGTGGGGGAGGGGCGGCCCCGCGCGGGTGGGGCCGCGGGCGTCTGGCCGCGCGTGGGGCCGGGCGGGTGCCCTTGGCGTCCTGGCTCCCGCGATGGGGTTGCGGGGAAGAAGTGGGGTCGGGCGCGAAGCCCTGGCGTCCGGGGCTGGGAACCGCCGGAAAGTGTCCCCTGGCCCGCGGGGCGTCAGGGCGCGTCCGAGCCCCCGGGTGGGCTCCCCGAGACATTCTGCCCCGAGGGCAGGCCAAAAATCCGGGCGGTAGGGCAGCAGTTCCCACACCCGAGGTGAGGTCCTCGGCACGTCCACTGGGAAGCGGCCACGTGAGCCCTGGGAGGCTGCGTCCTGCGTCAGTTAGAGGTGGAGCTGGAAAGGGCTCCCTTTCCCTTCCTCAGGGTCCGCCGGGAGCGACACGCGGACGGGCTGGGGGTCCCGGGGGCTGTCCCCGGCCCTCCGACTCCAGCCGCCCTCACCGCCTTAGGCCGAAAGCAAACATGGCTCCTGGTGCAGCTCCCACGACAAAGGCTGGGCGGGCCGTGGTTCCCGGGGAGACACGGAGAGCGAGCGCCTTCTGGGGGGAGCCGTGGGGGACGAGCCAGCGGGGCTTCTGAGAAGACCCGGGGACGGGTCAGGAAAGAGAGGAGAAGCCACCTGGGATCTGGAGACGGCGCCATTTTGGAATGGCTTCTTTGGCGCGCCCTGGTCACGGTCCCAGGCGGCTCAAGCTGAGGAGATCTCCCGGGGAGCCACCTCCTGGGGCTGCCCCTGGGGCGCAGCCCGTGGGGCAGAGCGTGCCACGAGGGGACAGGTGCAAGAAACCCGGGAAGGGCAGGGCCACCGAGCCCCAGCTCGGACTGCGTGTGAACTGGGGCCGGGCCCAGGGCTCCTTCCTCCCAGGCGCCCTGTGGGCCGGCTTCCAGCTTCACTCTTGTTAACCAGGCCCTTCCACACAGCTGGGGACCTATCCGAGGCCCTTTTGACGCTCACAAACATGAAACCTCAAGCTGAACTTCCGAACCTCAAAAAAGAAGGAACGCTCTAAAATGCTAGAATTAGTTGCTGATGGAATTCTGGTGATTTCTTTCTTGGGTCTTTACTGTATTCGTTTCGGAATGAACATTTTACTTTCAGGAAAAAAAAATTGTTTTAGGTCTAAAACTACAAAAAAAATAAAATAAAATAAGCAGAAGCCTGTGGGAGAGTGTAGACACGGAGTGCCTTACCCAGTCTGGGATAGAAGGCCAGGGAAGGCTTCCCTAGGAAAGTGACAGTTGAGCTAAGTTTGAAGAAAAAGCTAGAAGGAAGGTAGAGTGGAAGAGGGAGATACGGAAGGGAATTCCAAGTGGAGAGAACAGCATACGCAAAGGTGTAAAGATGTGGAAATGTATAGCCTGTCCAAGGTACCTTAAGAAAATGTGTTGGCCTTGGAAAGCAGAGTCTATGTTGGAGAATGCCGTAAGGGTGGTACAGGGGCAAGGTCACGAAAGGTTATCTGCGGAGCAGCTAGGGTGGCTCAGTGGTTTAGTGCCACCTTCAGCCCAGGGTGGGATCCTGGAGACCCAGGATCGAGTCCCACGTCGGGCTCCCTGCACGGAGCCTGCTTCTCCGTCTGCCTGTGTCTCTGCCTCTCTCTCTCTCTCTCTCTCTCTCCTCTCTCTCTCTCTCTCTCTCTCTGGCTGCCTCTCATGAATAAAATAAATAAAATCTTTTTTTTAAAAAAGGAAGGGTTGTGTGCCATATAAAGGGTTACATTTTATCCTGGGCAATCTGGAGACACTAAGGGATTTCTAACCAGGGAGATACCACATTCATTTTATTTTTAGATACCTTGTACTACTAGGGTAAGAGTACAGCAAAGTCATCAGATGCAGAGCTCTTTCTATAGAGCCATAAACACCGGTTAGAAAATGTAATAAAAGAAAAAATATTTTTAATTTACACTGGCAAAGAAAAGCTTAAAGTACATAGGAATAAGGTTAATAAGAAATCTATGAAGAGAATTATAAATGTTTGCTGCTAGACAGAAAAGAAGACTTGCATAAAGGAAGAAATGCCATGTTTCTAGACAGTCAACCTCAGTTTTGTAAAGATGTCTGT